AAAGTTCAAACTTCTGCATGTTATTAGGACCTGTTAAACAGTAAGTACTTCTGAATTTTTCACCCTTGTTTCTGGTTGTCTTGGATTAAGGAGCTTCTTACCTTAAGGTCAAGTATTGATTATTTTTGTTTGGTTCAGATGCAGAGTTGCCAACAGCTTACTGAACACTAGACCTCATGGTGAGAAGTCATTACTTGCTCCTTGAGACTTTTTTCCAGTGCTGGTTTGCCTCATGGGAATCAGACAGTTAACTAGGAACAACCTAAGTGCATACTACTGTTTGGGGATTAGTTGTGTTTAAGGATTCTTTCATTCTTTCTCAATTCTAAGAAAGAAAATCAGTGCTGTGACTGGGCAGGGGAGGGAGCCTAACTTTTTTTGTGTGTAAGACAACTACAGCGTTCATTTTTTTTAATTAATCAAGTACAGGGATGAAAGGGGAAAGATTGAGTGTAAAACTACAGGGGAAAAAAAGGGATTCCCCATACTTGAATTTGGAAGTAACTTCCTTCCATCTGGGCTAGAGCACGCTGTAGCTGAGTGAAATAGGATTGAACAGTTTTCTTGCACGTTGATTGGAATCTGTGTTCAACTACTACACCGTAAAGGGACAAGGGTCAATTTATGTACCTTTTAAACAACTGTCATGTGTTGTTCAGCCCTCTCCCAACCCCTCTGGATCTAAACTAAATCTCATAACAACTTCATTTATACATATTTTTTTTCGGTAGAGCATTTAAAACAAATCTTAGCAGATTAAGATTTTGTTAATGGTCTTCCCAGGGCCTCACACAAACTGTCTTTTTTGGACTACATTACTTCATTCAGGGTGTTCCTAAACACAAGTTACTGTTAAATGATAGCACAAGACGCAAACTAGTATCTTTAAAGATGATAACTATAATCTCATTTAAGTGGTTCCTTTTCCTCTGTCTGCCCTTTCAGAGAAGCTTTCAGCCTGGAGAGCTTCAGTGTTTACTGAGAGCTCAAACGACCTGTGCACTCTGCCGTACAACAGTAGGAAGCACTGAAGAAATCAAAGAACAGAGGGAGGTGGTTCTGGAATTTAAGCATAAGAGCAGCCAACAAAGCTACCACCAGTATCTCTGGTTTAGCTATTTCACAAAGACCACTTCTTCACCCATTTAGGTAAAATGCATCTCCATTTGTTATTGCAAAGACTTAAGCCATTTCCCTCATTACGCAAGCTACGTTACCATTAAATCAATAATGGAAAGAAACTTTAATACAAGTTTATTTACCAATATACAATGCAAAAACCTAGTAAAATGCTGAGTGTGCATAACATCAGTTAGCTTTTACATGATTTCAGCACAGGCATTTGTGTGTCTGGCACAGCTACACCAGTACACTATTCAAATGAGTGCAACATTCCCTTTAAGGAAGCAGCTGATGAGCTGAACATGCTCACCAGGTACCTTCCTTCACAGTATTTAACGTGTCATCACCTAAGAGCAACTGGGGCACATGCAAAACCATTTTGCAAGAAGAGATAGTAAACCAGAAGGACTGATGAAATCCCTTAAAGTTGCAAAGAAATTTGATGCAGCCGCCACACAAGAGAATAATGGCAGAGTGCTTAGTCTGTGTGATGTACAAGGCAGATTATGGTCAAAGATGCGTGCAAACCTACTAACGCTGTTTTTAATGCTTGCTGGGACTGCAACAGAACATAGGGCAGGAGGGTCTGCATCCAGAATACTCTAAACAAGCCCTTCTGCACTGGGTAGCACACACAGAATGGAGATGAATGCTTCCTTGTTACCTAGTGAGCAAATACTACTGTAAAACATCACTGGGACTGGACTGATTGAAGTAAACACACAGAATTAAAACAGACTTATTGCTGCCTCTATCAGTAGCAGATCAGTATTTTGAACAGCTTATGGAGTGTCACTCTTTCATAGGCTTACATCAATGCTGTTAGGACAGATACTATCATTAGTAATATCTTTAATTAGAAAAGTCAAGAGCATTAAGCATATAAAACACTTTTTCATTAGCAACATGAAGGCGAGGTTATTCGTACAGTACAGGAAGCACTTCCAGATCTACAGAAGATACAAGTTGAAGAGCTCTTTGCCATGTTTTTTTTCTCAGCCCCTTCACCACAGAAGAGAAGCAGCGTAGCTCTAGTAAGTTGCTGGATTAACATAACTGCATCTCAACTTACAAACAAACAGACAAAAAAACAGCAGCTCATTACAAAGGAATGCTTATACTAAATCAGTTCCATCTGAAAATATGGAACAGCAGCATCCTCTAGTGCAAGTCACCTTTAAAATTAAAAGCATAGCTGACAATGAGACATTGCTTCTAGGGAAGCCCTTTCCAAGGGACTAGTATTTGCTAAAGCAAACATTTACCACCTTGAATTTGCTTGCAAGTATAAAATAAATATTGATATCCATATTTCTTACATTAAAAATACTTTATTTTACATTCATTTTGATGTTCAATAAGTTACGTCTAGCACCAAAGAAACATTTTGGAGGGGCTGAGGAATTAAGAAACTACAAAGTGTAAATGCAGAATTCACTTCAACATTTAAAATGACTCATTGGTGCCTAGATTATTTTTTAAGTTATTGTTCAGATGGGCAGACTATTGCTTCAGTTAAACTTAGATGTGCCAAAACAGTGTAGAAATATAAAAATCACAGATTTGAGAAAATAATAATTAAAAAAAACCCAACCCAATTCTTTTAAACTCTCAGCTACATGCAGAGTTGAGGCTCCAGAACACTATCGGTAATGGTATGTTATGGCAGTTAGGTTACAAGTTACAGGAAGAACCAAATTGCATAATTAGAATCCTAGAAAGAAAGACTGAGCTTCCTTTCCACAGGAGTAGGACAGAGAAAACAACCAAGGGTTTATACCTTATGAACTTGTGTGCTGTTTGTACGTGCATATAGGGTGGAAGTGGTTCTTCAAGCTACTCAGCACATTGCAGTTAGTTCCACTGCGGCCAAGGAGAGACAGTTTTGTCTCAAGTACTCCACAACAAGCCACTTACTTGCAGGTAAGCCAAACAAAGCGTTACATCCGAGAGGACATAGCCCTTACCTTTTCTGAAGGGACATAACATCACAAGCTCAAAAGAAAAAGGCACTAGAGTTTTGGTTTTTTCTTCCTTAGAAATGCTGGCTTTGTAATTGTACCCCTTTTATTCTGAACTCACTGGTAACACTATTTTGGTAATGCTGGATATATTAACTAAAACCCAGTTCTGATCAGTATACCTCTGCCAAGTTGCAGAATCAATACTGTTTTAAGATTTCATGGTATCCTCACTGACTACAGCCCAAAGCATCACACCAAGATGACGCTTCCAGTGCTTGCACTTGTTTGGAAGCCAGTCAAGTTCCATGTTTTGGCACACCTGCACTCCAGAAGACTTGCCCAACTGGCCTCAGATCACAGCTTCCTGCTTTGGACACCAGTAGAGAGGCTTAAGCACATGTAATGCTGTGCTGTCTTCCACGTGGCAACCACCAATTTTTATTCATTTGATTAAATACCAGCATGGGAATTTAAGGATGAAGTGAGTATAAAGATCCTTTTCTAGTCCTCCTTCAACATCTTTCCCTTAATCTGTAGATCTTACTGAAACAGTACTGTGGATGTGTTAGGTGCTGTGTTACGTCGTCAGCTGGTGCCTGTCGCAACCACCCAGTTGAGACTGTAGTCATGAGAGTTGTGACGAGTTAGCTCTCAAGGTGCGCTGTTCTCACTGCAGTGGGCTGCACTCACAGTTATACCATGTCAGTCAAGGTGTTTAGTCCGGTACGTTTCAAGTTATGTGCAATTAGAACCCTGCAATGGCTTGATTTACGGCTCCGTACTTTAGGACCACATTAGCTGTGCATTTTGATCTAATCTGTATCACTTCTCATTTTTGTTTTTTAAAACCAGTCTCAGTGATCGCTCTCTGTTTGAGCATCTCACTCCCTTTCCCTGTCCCTCCCAAAGTCATCAGAAGGAGGCAGCTTCACCTCCTCAGCCCATACAAGCTCAGAAGTTACAGATACCAAAGGAGGAGGAGTGGGCTCCCCCCACAAGAAGAAATGGTGATTTTGCTGCCTGGGGCTCCCCACCCCTGCAAGACAACTCGCTGCCTCTTTTCCCAAACCCCATTTCTGGCCCAAATGAGCCACTTCACAGTAGTGCTGACCCCTTCTGTGGAACAGAGCACCACAGCTGCCAGGTACTCCTCCTGCAACTTTGTGACTAATTAGTTAACATCAAAGCTTCAGTGGGGTCTGTTTCAGCAAAAACGCAGGTCAAAGCTGTATCTGGACCAGCTGGGTGTGAAAGTAGCTCTTCAAGAACCTTTTCCGCAGCACAAGTACCTGAAGACATCTCACCTACCTCATCCCTTTCCTTCCACTCCCTGTTACTCTGCCATATTCTCGACAGAAACTCTCACCCTGCTCTCCCAGCACCTTGGCTGTAGTTATTAAGGAGAATGTTCTGAAACCTTAGCGATGGTCACAAAAATCCCTGCTCAGCACGCTCCTGAGCTCAGGACTTTTGTAAGCTTCACTTTGCTGCCAGCATTACGCAAAAAAAAAAAAAAAAAGAGGGAGAAGAAAGTTTCATTTGCTGGAAACCATCTCCACCCTTCAAAAACACAAGCAAGGATTACACCAATATTAATTTGTCCAGCAGTAAGGAGTAAAGCACTCCAGGACTACTGGACTTGAATAAGTTCACATAAAAGAAATCTGTTCTAATTATGTACCAAAAGCAGTGAAATCCAATGTAGAAGTTTCACAATTAAGTATTTTCCATGATCCAAAGCAAAAGTCTATTTAAACCATGGATCATGAATACTGTGGGGGTTTATATTTTTGCTTTTTTTGTTTGTTTTTAAGTGACATAATTTCTGTATCTTTGGGGAGGGAAGGAAAAAAAATAACGGAGTCCTTGAAGCTATAACCGGCCTCTGCTGTGTTTTTTCACATCAGCTGAGTTTCATGAAGCATCCCTGGATATCCAACCACTTTCTGTGAGAAAGTTTAAAATCCTTTTCTTCAGTACCTTATCCAAGTAACTGGGAAGGCGACTCTTTGAAGGAATTCCTTGTCTTTTTTGGAGATGGTCTTTAATGATTATAGTTTTTACAGTCACATAACGTGCAGGACTCAAATTTAGAGAGCTGCAGAGCACCTTTTCCCGGTCCGATAAGAGTTCAAAGCCAGGCAGGTTTTCAATGGCAGCAAATTCACCCTCTTTACCGTCTTCTTTCCCTCTCTTGGAACTAGCTATATTTTTGTTCTCCTTCCTCTTTTCCCGTTTATGCCTGGCTGCCTCGTATTCTGCCGACTCTTCCATTTTGGTGATTCCATTTCGACGATACCGCTGCAGCTCCCGAATCTTTGCTCGAAGTATCCTCTCCTTGTGCATGTTCTCAAAGAAGTCTTCAAACTCCTTACAAGACATGAACTGGTACAGAGGCCTCAGTTTCAGCCTCAACTCCTTCTCTTCTTTTGTGATCTTCCGTTTAGGAGTTTTCTCCTTGTCCTTTTTATCCTTCCCCAGGAAGGCTGGTACCAAGTTATAGTCTCGTGCGATATTCTTCCGCCGTTGCCTCTCCTTCAGTTTCCTTACATACATGTCTACGTGAGCTCTTTTTAACTCTATTTCCACATCATCATCGTCATAGTTCACCGAAAGGCCACTGATCAGCGTCTCCGCATCTTGATCGTATTCGATCTCGTAGTCATCCCGAAGCGGCATGTATCCCAGCTGCTGCTGCTCAGCCACCGATATATCCAACGGTGGGAGTGGCGTGGTCAAGCTAGGAGAAAGCGGGCCGCCGCTGGGACACGTGTGATCCGTTACTCTGTTGGGAATAGTGTCAGGGATGCAGGCTTTTCCCAGGTTGCCATGGATATACATGCTCACATAGTGTTCCATCACCTCCTGAGGCGTTCGGGATGCTCCCACGTGAGCAGCCATGTCCTCCTAAATGGGAAATAAGGAGGAGCGATAAGATGATTCCCATTACATCTCCAGCATAACATGCAGTCAGGCAAGAGCACGACTTCTTCCCTGCTCCTCAAAAGCCAACTCGCAATGCCTAAACTTTTCTGGCAATACTGAAATTAGCCACGTTTCCATCAGATCTGCATTTTTAGCTCCAGATAAGTATTTCCAAGTGCAGAGGGGCACGTAAGCCACGAAAAGAGCACCAGGAACATCACTAAGGCAAGCTGCATCAGATCCTCTCGCTACAGGAACACACCACCGAGACAGTGGATCCACATCGTTGATTCCTGAGCATCCATTGCTCCCTCAAAAAGTCACCTTACCATCACCAGAAAGCTTCACAGCCCAAGCCAGCACTGAGATCACAACGTCGTTTGGATTTTGCTCATTTATATTGCATTGCTGAAGCACTTTTTTCAGAGCGATATAAAGAAAGATAGTATTTACAGCAAGAAAGGTGGTATTTACTCTTTTCTACTTAAGGACTGCAACAAGCTATAATGATGATAAACTTTTAAGATTTTTAGAAAGTCTTTATGTTCAATGAAGCAAAACATAATCAAGAGACAATGAATGAAACGATGATGCTTTTCACTGTTATTTTTTAAGAACGAGCCTGACCGTACAACATGCAGAAGGCAAGCAGCAAGTTTACAGCTGTGACATATTGAAGGAAAAGACACTCAGAAGAAAAGGGTATCACATCTGTAATACAGACAGGCTGCGGGGAAGGCACGGGCTGGAACTTAAGCTAGCGGCAGGTCCGAGAAGCCCGAAGCGCCCCTTTGACCAGCAGTCCTCCCGCAGGTCGCCCATGTAAAGGCCGCCAAC